AATCTCCTCACCCTCCTCACTCTCCTGAATCTCCTCACACTCCTGAATCTCCTCACTCTGCTCCTCACTCTCCTGAATCTCCTCTCTCCTCCTAAATCTCCAGAATCTCCTCACACTCCTCACTCTCCTCTTTCTATCTCTCTCAGTCTGAACCTCAGCGACAGTGATATTGTGACGATTCTGGATGGTGACGAGGTCACGACCCGCATCCTGGGACAGTACATCGGGGGAACCAGCCCCTTCAAGTTGTCGTCCTCGACCCCTGACCTCACCATCCAGTTCCACTCCGACCCCGCGGGGCTGCTGTTCGGGAAGGGGGAGGGGTTCATCATCAACTACATGGGTGAGATGGAGGAAGACAGTGGCAGGAGAGGCTGAGATAGAAGTACAAAGAGTGAGAGGAAAGACTGTATCTAAAATGTGTTAGATACACTCTCACTGTACAGCAGTCACTCTGCGTCTTCTGTATTATACAAGCAGAAGTACTGTACTCACGCACTATGACTTTGCTGCTTTGGGGGTACACACCATGCAGTACTGGTGCAGACTGGCTCAGCGTATCCCGGGGTTCTGGGAGCCTGTATCCATCCACTGGGAGCCCAGTGCTGTGAGCAGGGCCTGGGCCTGTGTGTGTCTCAGCCCAGGGTCTCTGTTGTCTCGTCCCGGTTACAGAAGTGTCCCGAAACGACTCGTGCTCAGACCTGCCAGAGATCCAGAATGGCTGGAAGACAACATCCCACGCGGCGCTGGTCCGAGGGGCCAGGATCACGTACCAGTGTGACCCGGGCTACGACCTGGTGGGCCGGGAGACCCTGACCTGCCAGTGGGATCTGAGCTGGAGCAGCCAGCCCCCCTTCTGCGAGAAAAGTGAGTGCGAATGAGAGAAAGAGGCAGAGTAAGATTGAGGGAGAGATCCGGGACCTGTAAAGTGTGGGTCTGTAATGGAAAGCTACTGAAGAAAAGTGTTTTTATGGGCAGAGCTGTGTTGTAAAAGCAGCTGGATTCTATGAACAAAGTGTGATTGTACCCAGCGAGTCAAGGGCACGGGATGTTCTAAGATTATGTTTATCTCTGCCCCAGCAAAAAAGGCAGATGCAAAACTGCACGTAGCTGTCTTCTCTGTCCTTCAAGGCTAAGATCTACAGTATAAGGACTGGAAAATTACTGTCTCACCTGTCTTTGCATTACTAACCAACCAGAATGAAGTAAACAAGTTGAGGTGTTGCATCAGCTAAGTGTATAAAATAAGGGACCTTTCTCTATTTTACTTTGGAAATCAGCTCCCACTTGCTGCACAGACTGGTGGTTGCTGTTTTTCCCTATTGCGCAATATGTATAAATGCCTTACTGAGTGAATGAGAACACCTTTCCTGGACAGGTCCAGCTGAAGGTCACAGCCCTGACAAAAGGTCAGCAGGAGGTCAAACCCTAATCTGGCCCACGCCTACCCCCTGCATGATAGCGTCATGCTTCCTGCTGACTCACTGGCATGTTTCAGCTCACTTGTCCACTCATCTAGATACTTTGCCACAGTGGCAGTCCCCTAGCTCAGCCCTAACCAAACGGCCCAGTCCTTGGGCGGGTTGTCCTTCTCAGCACACTGAGCTGTTCTCCACCGTGATTACAGCTGAGACCCTGGCTTCTGGTGCGAAACGGCAGGATTAACCCTGGGATCAATTAACTCCTGACTCGCTTTCTCCTGTGCTGTCTCTCCCAGTCATGTACTGTTCAGACCCTGGCCACGTGGAGCACGCCACACGCACACTCTCTGACCCCAAGCTCCTGGTTGGCACCACAATCCAGTACACCTGCAACCCTGGTTACGTCCTGCAGGGTGGGGCTATTCTCACCTGCTACGGCCGTGAGCCTGGCACCCCAGTGTGGACGTCACGCCTGCCACGCTGCGTCTGTGAGTCTCCCAGATGGTCAGGAGGGCAGGCAGTCGGTCAGACACACAGACACAGTCACACAGTCGTCTTCTGAATCCATACACCTCCGAAATGAAACACTTTTCTCAATGTTTCCTGGGCATTCAGGGCCATTTCCTGTGACACTGTCTTTGCAGTAATGTCAACACCTGTCCACCGTCATCTCCTCCTCTGCCTCTCCTCCTGATCTCTCCGCCTCCTCTGCCTGTCACTCCTCCCCTACTCTCGCCTGTTTCTTCCCTAACTATTCAATTCACTTCAAGAAGCTTTATTATTAGATTTTAATTCTCTTTCTCCTCTCCTCTGTCTGTCTGAACCCTGTCCATCATCTTCTTTCTCTCTCTCCCAGCGGAGGAGTCCGTGTCCTGTGAGAATCCAGGGCTCCCGGAGAATGGATACCAGATCCTGTACAAGCGGCTCTATCTACCTGGAGAGTCGCTCACCTTCATGTGCTACCAGGGCTACGAGCTGATTGGAGAGATCGCCATCAAGTGCATCCTGGGAAACCCCTCCTACTGGAGCGGGCCACTGCCACTCTGCAGGGGTGAGGCCGCAGGGAGGCAGGGGCTGTTAGCGCACGTACTGTACACACACAGGCCATGAGGAGCACACATTTGTGTTAGCAGGAGAAGGAGAAAGGTGCCCGTTGAGATGTTGACTAACTGGACATTGTTGTCTCACAGCCAGCCAGGACTGCTTTGACAACCATGCGCTGGAAGGTGAGTCCGCCTGCGTCTGTGCCTGACTCCCCATCGCAGTGTCTGTCTGTGAGTCTTGCTCAGTCTGTCCTGCTAATTCTCTCGCTCTGCTCCTGCCTCCCTCTCCATCTCCCTCTCCTTCTCTAGTGGCAGAGGCAGCTGCAGACTCCTCTCTGGACGGTGGGAACATGGCTCTGGCCATCTTCATCTTGGTCCTTCTGCTTTCTGTCCTCCTGGGGGGAGCATATGTCTACGTCACAAGGTCGGTACCCCGTTCGCAGAGCTCTGTATCTGCAGACAGACTGC